TTTTATCACCACACGCACCGGAGTGTATTATTCCACCTGAGTAAATAGTGCACAGCGCCGCTCTCTCTTAAACACTCACTCACTCCCAACGCACATGTAAACACGCACACACTGTCTCGCACACTCAAAACCACTCAAAACACATACTCACCCCACTCAAGACACGCACGCACACACACACACACACACACACTTGCTACTGAGGTTGTCAGGTGAACGTGGGTGCCCTTGTGCTGAAATACCAAAGATTTGAGCTAATGGTTTAGCTTTCAGATTCTCGGCGTGTTTGCGCGTAACCGTCATGAACGCTAACACGTGGCCACGAGGCAGATGGTTTCGCTCCGCCGATAAATAAGACATTCCTCCATTTGGCTGTTTTTTGTTTTTTTTCCCTTTGCAGTCATCTATTTTGCACAGGAATGGTTAATTACACTTTTGTTCAAAACAATCGCTCCCCCCTAGACAAGTACCGGAATATTCTGTTCAACGGTGTCACCCAAGACGCGTCACGTCCAGGAAAGCGCGCAAAGCAGCACATGAGGGAGAGGGGCCCGTCGAGGAGCGCCAAGTGGCACGTTGAGGAGCGTAAAGCGTCGCGTCAAGGATCGCAAAGAGGCACCCGAGCATAAAAAAATGATGAAAGTAGCGACATATGCTCATTTTGTAGAAAGTGAGTGCAAGTGAAAGGAAGGCTAAAGATAACAAGAGGCTAAATGATGATGGATTGCAGCGGCGGACGCTCCAAGATTACATCTGCACGCGACCTTGATGCGTCCGGGGAAAACCTTCCGCCAAAGACACGTCGCAGGCAGGCCCTCCATTTACCCTTCCTGGCCTGAGGACACCTTCAACTTGCGGGCCAGAAGCACGTCAAGTCGATTGAAAACCCATGATCCACAATCACGGAACACTTCTTTTCCCAACCGACCCCCCGGTGGGACATCATGGAAATGGAAATAATTCCATCTACAGGCCATGGCAACACCTGTATCCACTGTTTGGTGCAGCAAGGGTTTTCACATTCATTTATTGAATACATACGCCTGAACTTAAATCAGCAAAATTAGGGGATGTTTTTCTTTTTTTGCTCTGGAAATTATCATTTTGATCTTGTCCAAAAAAAATCATAACATATATATATATATTTTTTTTTTAAATAGAAATATTCAAAACAGAAAACACACTTTTAGGAAAAAATGAAACAGAAGAAATGAAAAAAAAAATTAAGAGAAATTTCTAAATTAAAAAAAAAAACTGAAAAAAGTCCAATAAAAAAACTTTTCAAGAATGAAGAAAAAATTATTCAAAAATTAGATATATTTTTTAGTGGATAAGTTGGATCCCGCTGTATTTTTGTCCCCGCCCACTCCAGGATCACTCCATGATGCTATTCAAGTCAAGGTCACATGATAGCCCTGCATCTTTTCGCCTTTGAAATCAAACTTGCCATTGTTGTTTTTTTACTGCCCATGGCCGCCGCAAAGGACAAACACACACACACACACACACACACACACACACACACACACACACACACACACACACACACACACACACACACACACGGAGGGGCGTGTAATGCAATAGCGCTGGGAATTCCTCTTTAATTTCAATGCTACACTTGATCTGCGGGCCGCATGAGCGAGCAGCTTATTATCTATAGTGACAGGAGCTTATCAATACACGACTGGCCGCCAGGCGCACAGCCTCCCTGAAAGACAAACACTTCTTTTATGCACCGCGTCCCCTCGGGGCACGGGACACGCTGCGCAGGCCCAGCTGACAAATTCCTCGATGGGAGACCAAAAAAAGAAAATCCCTACAGTGGTCCAAGCAGAACAAGATTGGGAATGAATCAAAAATACATTTTAAATCAGAGGAAATTGGTCTGGTCACACTAATCAGGATTTTTAGAAAATTTATGCCTGAAGGTATCATTTAGCAACATTAAATTTGGCTTTTCAGGGGTCTTTCAATGAAAAAATGCTTCATGAGAGCTTTTTAAAATTAAGCCCCAGAATCCGGTGTGACTTGACGAGATGGAATTTGGTCGAAATGTTTATCAGGAATAGACCCGCAAAAAAGTTTCAAAAAGCCCAGCCTGACGACCACAAGAAGTCCGCCATTTTGTTTTTAAGTAGCGATTAATTTTTAGGCCCTCTCCTGGGGTCCTTGTAAGACAAAAATGTCACTTTGAGTCGAGCCGCACAAAAAAGGCTCAAGAAGCCTTTCCCCAAATGACTCAAGCAGAATGCTGTTTTGGTTTGAAGTTGAGTTGCTATTGTTCAAATTGATCAAGACAAGCACATCTTTGAAAATTCAAACCCCAAAGGCTGGCTCAACTTAACAACATCAAGTTTGGTGTGTATGTCTGTCATGAGTAGACCTGCAAAAAAAAAAAAGGCTCAAGAAGCCATAGAAAGGCAGCCATTTTAGGCTCAATTTACATGTGTTGACTACACTTTACTGAGGCTATTCAATGAAGCCGAACCAGCTTTGAATGTGTCGTTCTGTCCTGCTGGGAGGCAAGCTCACCTTCAGTTTCACACGCACACCCCCCGCCTTCCCTCCCGACAACAATGGACACCCCCTGGGGCACCCCGCGCAGGTGCAACCTGAATTAATTTAAGAAGAATTTTAAAAAGGAAAACGTTTTTTTTCTTTTCTTTTCTTTCTTTTTTTTTTTTTTAAGCCGCTTCGAACCTTGTGCAAATAAAGCCGATGTTTTTCAGGGGCAGCTTTGTGTACAAGTCAAAACAGTCGAGACCAAAGAACATCAAATATGATGTCGATATGTACAGAAGATTACACCCCATTGAATACGATGCATACATGTACATTATAGACGACAACATTGAAGCGTACATGAGTGACCCATCCATCCATCCATCATCCAAAGCGCCTGCCTATCCTTCCCGAGGGCCGCAGGCGCACTGGAGCCTTTTCGGGCAGTAGTGACCACACATCATAATGATGAACCAAAGCCTAAAATGAAATGTATTATTATTATTATTATAAAAAAAAAAAAAAAAGATCATCCAACTTCAAATGTGTACATTACATGACATCATAGACCATCTGATGTCAATATCTAAATTAGACCTTCCAGCCCATGAATATGAAGTAGCTGTGTTGGAATGAAGCTTGGACGGGTAGGGGTTAGAGGGCGCGGGGTGCTGCACTGAGGCAACAGGTGAACTGACAGCTGTAATTTCAAACCAGCTTGTTGAAAGGTGGCGGGACAAAAGTGTGACGAATGACACAAAGCGGCACAATGGCAATATCCTCGGCGGCGAGGAAAGACAATTATTGTGCCTCAAAGTCGTCCTTTGTGGGCACTCAAACGGAGGCTTCATCTGGCTGTCAGTCCCGAGTGTGACGGATGGACTGGGTACTCGACACGATCGCCGGTTGGAGTTTACAGCACCCGCTACAGGTGACGTGTCAAAATTGAAAAGGAAATTCAATTGGTTTAAAAAAAAAAATAAACAGTAGGAAAATGATTAAAAAAATTAAAACAAAATGCTAAAAATAAAATCAACATTAAAAAAATGATAAGACATTACATATAATTAAAAAAAAATGTAAATTGTGAAAAAAAATCAAAACTGTAAAAAAAAAAATGACGTGTGAAAAAGTGAAAATAGTAAAAAAAAAAACAACAATATATTTTTTTAAATTAAAATCAAATGAAACTTCCACTGGTTCAAAAAAGGTTTGTGATGAACACCAATTTACAGATTAAAATATGTTTGTTTGTCACCACCTTGTGGTTTAGATATGAAACGTAAAACCTAACAATCCACACAGTCAGATCAAATCGGTGGCAATTGTCATCTCGCACAACAGAAATGGGTGAAGAAAATTGACTCAAAATTGTCCGCGCATTGAACTAATAATACATAGATACAGATCATAAAAATCACCTTACTGTATAGACATGAATTTTTTTTTTTTAAAATCAGCCAGGCGAAAGGAAATCTCACTTGCTGAGTTAACAGCTATGCTCGACGTGCGTCAGGAAATCTCCCGCCACCCGGGAATGTTTCCGGAATGTGCAGTGCACACCAATAAGAGGCAGGCGACCTCCAATGTCCCGCGGCCTGTCCTTGTCCCAACAGCAGCTTTCCAATGTTGTTACTGGCCACCTCCAAATATGCGACTCCCCCGCCTCTCGTGCCCGACATTCCGTCCGGGGCTTTACCTCCACTTGGACGCGTCGCGGGCATCCCGTGCGGCGCGCCGGAAGCGGCACGCCACAAGCGTTTCCTTGAACAGAACGGGAAGTTTGCGACCGCGAGGTGACGCCACCTCCCCCTGAAGGCATTCCAATGCCAAGTTTGCGCCGGTTAGCACTGAGGCTACGTAGGCCCGCGAAAACCGGCTTGAGCCATCACGTTGCGTGTGGAATCAAAATCACCATGTCGACCGCAAAAAAAAGTGACACCCTCCTCGCACGCTTATTCAACGATAAAACTCAATTTTCCTGAAATGTATCAATTTTCAAAATTATTGGTGCGTTGAAATGGCCTGTTCCAACCACACTTGAAAATCTTGTCACGTATAAGCGGGATTAAGGAGTTCACGTTCATTATTCAAGATTTAACTTTCAGCAAAAGCTAGGATGAGCTTGAAATGCTTCCGCTTTTCACTCTTCTTCTTTTCAAATGTACACAGCGTCAAACAATGTGTGCTATCTAGTGGCCCAAAGTGGAATCACACCTAAAATAAAACTGCGTGAGTTTTGCATAAACTGTACAAAAAAAAAAAAAAAAAATCTGCAAATCTGGAAACCACAATGGAGGGTGGTTTACTGTAGTTGGGGAGGGGCGACTCATGCACCCCCCCACCCCAAAAAAAAAACCACAACTGCAATGGTGAAATACAGTTTAACGCTGTATCTCAACAATTCAGTGCTAGATAGTTGAAACTGTCAAGAATTAAAACAAAACAAACAAAAAAAAAAGCTCACAAGACAATTAGAATGTGAGTGTACTCACTGTCATTTTCCCAGTGCGGTTGGCTTCCTCACGCTGGGCTAGCTCCTTCAGGAAGTTGTCCCGGATGTCACATCCCGAGCTCGCCAGTGTCCTTGAAGAAGTTCAAAGTAGTTAGCATGTTGGAACTTCTTCGTATAAAGCAGTTGAACACTTGCCCTCCTTACAGTTCTGGTGACGCAGCATTTGGTTCGTCACTCAAGGTGAAAGTTAACAATTGCATGTTTGTAATCACGACGTGCTTAGATGTTTTTTAGCATTCATGCGACAGCTGCGACTGCGCGAGGTAGAAGGTGAGCTGCAGCTACACATTTACGATAGTTCGCACAATATTTCTTGTGATTTTTGGTGGTTTGTTCATCATTAGACATCTTGGATCAATAAAATTTCGACAGGAACAGATTATTGTTGAATCTGCTACATTTCTCCCTCCACCTTCCCACAAAAACAAGCAATGAAACTACTTTGCGATTTATTTGCGTGTTGTGAGTCTCACGCTGGTTACATAAAAAAGCATTTTTAAGAAAAAATGAGAAAAAGGAAAAAAGTGCAGTGGTAAGCAAATAGTTGCAGGCCGCATGCGTACGCCATCTTGTTGTGGGTCAGGCGGGGGCGGGCGGGGGTTCGCCAGGTGGTGCTCCAGCGGCCCCAAAGTAAACACAGGTGTTGAGGAGGCAAGGTGGTGGGGGGCCACTTCGAAAGTCACGGCCAGTGAACGGCACTGGAGCAAAACACCCTCTTTTTGCTTCTTTTTTTTTTTTTTTAACCCAGGCTCATGTTGACTCGCTTCGTTGTTATTAGCATTATTAACAGCTAACGACTTGCTAATTAGCTTGCGCCGCAACGCCGTCAAAGCAGATGGCCCGTGAAATTATTACGAGAGGTGGGGGGGGGGGAAGCGAAGGGAAGTCAGCTACAGTCAACGCCATCTGCTTGACGTGTCACAAATGCGCCGCCGCTGTTCAGTTTGAGACCTGTTGGCGTCACTAGTGACACTTTTCAACCGTTGCACAATGTCAGAATGAACCAAGAAGAAGACGACCGAGCACCGAGCACAACCCAGCCTGCGTCACAGATGTTATCTTTGCGGTTTTGCGCCCTCGTCAGCTCGTTATCTGGCGACACCCGATTTCATTTAGAGCCTGATTTAAAAAAAAACAAAAAAACTTCTCTTTTATTGGCTGTCACCCCCACTCCTTAGCCCTTCAACGGCAACACTTGAAACCCAATAAAACAACAAGGTGGCAATAATTACGCACAGCGTCAATCAGTCATACTCAATCAGCAGCACTTGAAAGACAAAACGCAGAAGAGGCCGCGAGCCGCTCGTCTGACGCTCGTCCGTTATAAAGATGTGGAAACCGCTTCCTGCCCTTCATCCAGACCACTGAGGCCGGCGCAGGATTGCGGGGGCGCGCGGGGTGAGGGGGGGGGGGCTTTGGATTCTGCTGATTTAGGAGGCAGCAGGATTTGGGAACCATAAAAATAATCCCTGCTAAATCACTACAGAAAAAGAGGGGGAGAAAGAAATGGAGAAGGACAAGTGGAAACATGACAAAGAAGCTTGAAGAAACACAGATGGAACAATCTTGCCGACCGTTCAACATGGTCTTGTCCATCATGAGGAATCTGCTTGGGGAGCTTGGCCAGATTTTCAGACTGCAGTGGAACGGCTCCAGTTGAGCCCGAACAAATGGATTCGCGGTCACAATTTGGATTTTGTGTCAGTCATGTCATGATTACACCTCGACTTCCACAGAAAAGTGGACTAACTACACGGGTGCCTGTTTTACTGCCCCTTCTCCTCCACCACCTCCTCCTCCTCTAGAGGTGGGCTCGGTGAGGCCCAAAGGATTCCACATCCACCGAATGATACAGGATTGGAGGAGGACAGCTTCCCCGGAGGTATCACTGTGGAGGAAAGATGGACTGATTGCACTAGGGCCTGTCCCGCCCGAACACCGCATGCTGCTTTGGCGAACATCGCACGGCGCCATACCATGTGATGAATAATGCATGCATTGCAGACTCCTCATCCAGCAAACCGAAAACAAACCAAAAAAAAAGGACCCATCAAAAATCAACCAAATTAGCACTCCAAACGGCTCGCAAACTAAGGTAAAATGAACCAAACAACACCGTGGAGGCCTGGCTGGAAACCCAAACTACCAATCGAAAGATCCAAACAAACAAGTGTTTGAGCAAAACCGAACCATCAAAGTAAAATCTGACCTAAATCAATTAAAACAAAACAGATGACCAAAGCACACAGGCAAGCAACCAAACAATAAAAAAAAACAAAAAAAAACGTCTGGACTGAGCAGCCAAACTACCGACGCAAGCGACCAAGAAATGAATCAAACAAGAAAGCAAAACTTCGAAACCAGAAACATCTCGTCAGTCACCGTGTTGGTTGTCGCTAAACGTGCGGGCAGCGTGTTCACGCCTCTGCTTTTGCTTTGCACGCCGAATGATGGTGAACGCGAGCGAGCGGGAGAGTTTGAGGTGGATGGAAAGAAAATGAATCGCGGACAAAGCAGCCTGCGGTGTGGACTCACGGGCGAGTCATGATGGAAACCCTCAAAACCACGCCAGCGAGCCGAAAAGTGAGTGATGGGCTAAAATTTCATTGAACACAATCACCGATATGTCAGACTGCAACAGTATTTTGCCAACTTCTGCCGAGGAGGATTCACTAGATGAGAACATTTTTTGACCTTTTGTATCGGTGGCTGGTATCGGCAGCCTCCATGAGTACCCGATGCCGTAAGATAAGGCCAGTATCGGTACTCATTGTGCCGTGGTTGAAAATTCCATCTCGGGCTTGAAACCCGATTTTGAAACTCCAATCCTGGCGACAGAGCATCATTTGAAACGCTTAGCTTTGTCCAAAACCCGAACCTAGTTCAAAACCCTCTTGAAATCCTTTCACCAGAAATGTCTTTGTCGATTATTCCGTCAAAACAAGAAGAGAAACTACGCACGGCAGCTGCTGTCAGCCTTCTCCGTAGCCATGGCGACGCCTCACGATCACAAACATACATTCGTTTACAGCGACCTGTCAAAAAACGTGATTATCCGATCGCATGTAGCGGCCCGCCGTACACAATTTCCATGACACAGCAAAAAGCTGGCGGGGAAGAAATGTGAAACGTCAGTCACGCTAGGTGGTCTCCAGGTTGAACGTGCCTGGATAAAAAGTCGGTGGTATTTATTTAATTCCAGCTCCATTTCGGGCTCCCATCCCAAGTCGAAGCAGTGGATTCCCGTCGCAGCCCTCCTCTCTCTCCTTCTTTTTTTTTTTTTTTTTTTTTTGCTAACCAAATAAGCACACGACGACGACTAAGCATCCCATTCATTCCCTGCTATTGAATTTCACTGCCCTGGAAGCTTCTTTGTTTGGTCTTTTTTTTTCTTCTTCTTCTTCTTCTTCCTCCACTCTTTAGCGTGCTAGCAAAAAAAAAAAGTGCATCGTCCTTGAGAGGAGAGAAGAGGAGAGCGGGCCAACGCCGGGGCAACGTCTCCACTCCCCCGCGTATTTTATTACCACAGGTGCAGGGGTAAAAAGAGGGAGGGATGAGGGGGGGCGGGGGGGCGCACGCATTGATCAGATGCACGCTACAGGCCGGCTTAATTGAAAACAGCTCTATTTATACACCTGCAGGCACTAAAGGTCTCTGGGAGAGCACGATGGATGGAAAGGGAGGAGGAGGAGGAGAAGGGGGGGGCAGGAAAAAAAAACTGTGACAGAATGGTGAGAAAAGACACCAGGCTGGAAGGTGAAAGACGTTCCCCGAACAGCAGGGCAGAGGAGGGCGAGGAGGTGGAGGAGGGGGAGCTTTGGGCTTTGGTGTTCGCAGGTGCAAAAGGCTTGACGACGACAACAACAACAACAACGTGGACCCGCAAGACCCGTCAGGAAAAAGTTCTCTTTGTGTTGGAGCGCTTCGTGATCCACTTGGCAGGTGCTACGAGGGAGCTTTGCTGGAAGGACAATAGAAAAAAAAAAAAAAAAAACAGCAGTGGTTCGTGGTAAACAAAGAGATTGATTGAGTGAAGGCCTAACTTGCTGGCCGCGAACAAAAACATCTCGGTCTTATCCAAAAGTTGACCATGGTGCCCATGCTGATCATGAACTAACCAACCAACCAACAATTGGGGCATACAAAAGGCCCACAGTCCAAGAGTGTTACTGTATTTTGCATTTATGTCAAAACCATTTTGTAGGTTTCCTGTCGTGCGACTGGATTTGGAAGCGAAAGAGTTGCGGAAACTGATACCCGGCAGCTTCCTGCATCCGCACACGCACACACAAATAGTCAGCCACAGCCACGTCAAGATTTCACAGCGTGAAAGCGCTTCCAGATATGTCACGGGCGGTTTTCCGCACGTTAGTCACAAGGCGGACGACGCCTCGTGTGAGAGTAAAACTCACGTTGTCCGGTTCCGGTGGTCGCGGGTCGCCGATGCTGATGCTGCTTTCCGTTGCTCAAATTCCTGCCGACTCAGCACAGTGCCCTTGTGTCCGTGCTCCACCAGCTTGCGAGCCGACTCCTTGCTCTGGAAGACAGTAAAATTGTCCATTTGAAGCTGTATTTAACAAAACATTAACTAAAAAAAATAATAAATCATAACTTTCATTGATGAAAAAGATGGCGGTTTTATGAGTTTCTTGTGAGTTACAAGCGCCACGTGCAATTTATTTTTGTTCCACAAGATGGTGACAGTGAGTCGCTGTGGCCTTTTCATGCCACCTCAGCTAACAAGCTGGCTCACTAACTAGCTAACGAATCAAATGTGAACAAAAACACATCTCATCTCACAAATTCACCTATTTTGGGGTTATTGCAGACACGTAAAAGCCTCCCATAGCCTAATCTTTTCCAAATCATTACATTTAAAGAAACCAACAAATTCTCAGCAACGTCTCGATTTGAAAAACGATTCGATACGTATCTCACAAATCAAGCTGGAACAGTTAGTGTTGTCACATCGTCATTTTTTTCCCCAAAAAAACATTGTTGGTTGAATGAATCCAGGTAATCCAGGTCCGAACTACAAACCAAGTTCGAACTGTCATCATACGAGGCGCGAAGTACATCGATTTTTTTTCTTTGTGGAGTAGTTTTATGAATCAGCGACCTCATATGAGGAGTGACTTTCTAACGTTGTGGAGCATTATTTTCACCCCCACAGTTTGATCCCCGGACCCTGAATAATTTTTTTTTTTACACACATCATACATTAGAACAAATGCTGGGAGCGCTAGTTTGCAAACTACCTTGAACTTCCTTTGATAGGTTCCAGTCTTATATAGCGACAGAATTCAATTTTGTGTCGGCCTTCAAAAAATGGGTCGAATGGTCAAAATTTAAGGAAAACGGCTGGCATTAAATGAGTTAAACGCACATATGTTTGAGGTGATTGCTCCTGTTGTAAAAGTTTTTTTGAAAAGCATTC